GCGGAGCACAGCATCCGACCCCAATCGCTCGTCCGGCGCCCTTGGCGGGTCCTGCGGCGTCGGCATTTCCTCGTCCTCTCCCCCCGATGCCAGCTGGCCCGAGTCGTCAAGGTTATCCTCGCGGTCAATCCCGTGGGTCCGACGGGTCTTCCTTGTATCCATGCCTGGAAGACTGTTTCACTTCTGACGCCAGTTGCAGTATTCAGAATGACGGCAGGAAACCTCTTGACGGGTAGCACACTTTTTATTAAACTTTGACTTGTCTCGATACACCGTGTGGTCACTATTCTTCACACTACACACACTTCACTGACACGTGTGGTCACTACCTCTCCCACTACACACTCCACTGACACGTGTGGTCACTACCTCTTCCACTACACACTTCACTGACACGTGTAGTGACTATGGCTCACGCTGCATGCTCACACTGCATGCTCACACTACACTCCAGCCCCGTAACGTCCGTGGAGCCTACAGACCCACCCCAGCTTGGGCGTGGGTCACAACCTCTGGGTCCCGAGAGCCGGCCCTCACACAGACGTTCTGCCCCGGGTCCCAGGGTCCCGCCTCTGGGTCACACAGAGCCCCGGTCCTTACAAGGACAGCGGGACTAGGTACCGCAGGGCCCTATCTCTTCCTCCGCCGTCTTCAATCTTCGCTGGTCACCAACTCCCCGAGCGCCCGCACGCACCGCCTTATATAGCCCTCTTGCGGACCGCGATGTGAGCGCCCACTAGTCGACCAATCACGGCGCGCTATTCCTACGATCCGTTTTCCCAGCGCGTGTTACCACTACACAACCAATCGCCCCGCGCTGCCACATGATCACTCCCTGTCAGCGCGCGTCACCAACACACAGCCAATCACCACCACATAACCCATGACCCCGCGCTGCCCTGTGATCCCTCACCGTCAGCGCGCGTCACCGGCACACAGCCAATCACCACGCGCTGCCCCACGATCCCCACTGTCAGCGAGTATCACCACTACACTAGTAACGAATTGGCATGTTCTGTTTACGTGACAACCCTTAATAAATGGCTTTGTCGGGCGGTGGCGTGTTTAACGACACATATATATTTATGCAATCTAATCCAAAAAAGCCTGTATTATGGATGTATGAAACTGCATGTGATGTGGGGCAAAATGGTTTCGTATCCTTGAATATTTTCACACTACACATGCATTTAATTGCATTATTTTATACCAACATAAGTCAGTAACGTGTATGGTATTGGCATGTTTACAGTATGTGTGTGAAGCAGTCTGCATTACAATTGTCTTACTTTGACTCAATATATTAAAGTGTATGTACTGTATTGATTTTGATTATTCCAACCATTATTCATTGAAAGCCACAACAAAATGCTTTATCACTGCCAGGGTCACATTCGCATCACAGGAAGAGCAGCGCCTGTTTTAAGAGCCCTTTCAGGACATTTGTCTCTTACTTTAACTGTTGGGAATATGTAGAAATTGTTTTGCACAGAACAACAACGATTGACATTTATGTTGCCTCGAAATGCAATCACATCTCAAGATGCGTTATGAAATAGAAAATAACTACTTAGGGTACAGGGGAATGGGGCGTATTGCACACAGAGAGTGCTTGCCACGAATTACCCATAATACCTTGCTGATCTCGTCAGGGAGCATCAACCATCACGCGAACTCCAGTCATCCTCGCAGCGGTCACCGCATCATGCACTTTAAGGTGCGCTTCTGCGGCCGTCTGGAACGCTCTTCCTTCCGATATTAGGTATCCACTGGAGCTATGCACTTTTAAAACATATAGATTGAAAACGAATTTCTTTAGAACTGCTTTTCGTGTTTAGTTTGTTGTCCTTCCTCCACATCTACAATTAACACAGTTGGCTACATACGGTGCGGAATAAGTTCAACATGCATACGTACAAGACAAACCCACACAGGAGAGAGGTTGAGAGAGCAACACGGAGCCACAGCCCCGCAAGAAGCAATCAGGGCCGATCGCCAGCAACAACGACAACCAACGAACCCCAACTGAGGCCCACGGCCCATCACCAAACAAGTCCCAGCCCATGTTTTCAGAGGGCAGTTAACGAGAACGCATGCATAAGGAAATAACTCGGCATGATGCATTTGTGTCATTACCTACGTAAGATGCCGATATTTAAATATCCTTTCACGTCTCCTTGGCTCAATTATAAAAAAAAGTTCAGTGGCACATTCATAGCGATTCATATTTTTAAATGTTTCCCTCTGTTTATTGTCTTTTACCTGCCCATGAAAGGCTATTGCCAATTTTAAATACCGCAGTATACAAATGTATATAATTAGCAATACACGGCATTGCATTTCAGTTTACTTTCAAGCCTCCCTTGGCTTCAACCTGCACTGCGTATGGAGTCTCTTATCCAGCAAGGGATTGGCTGTGAGATTGAGCTATACCCTGTATCGGGTTTTTTTCCACTCCAAAACTAGGTTTACTGCCATTCAAACAATTTAAGTTAATGAGTACTGTGATGACTCAAACACTTAATATTATAGTCACCTTTAATCCATACATTTAAATACTGGGTCACGAACGTGATTGTGCACACCGGAGTAAACTAGAATATTGTGTTAGCAGCAGCAGGCAACCATTCACACATGACATGGGTACACAGGTACATCAATAATACATTCGGTTGCTCATAAGTATATCCATTGGGAAATTAAAACATGTGCTGCACAGGCTCATGCCATTACAACAGGTCATATGGTTTGGTTTACATGCGGGCCTCCGTGGATCAATATTATCACAGGCGTGTCCGCTCAGGGAGAAAACAAAACTTGTCCAGACCAATATTTACCCATTTCTTTGCTTGTGTAAGGTAAGCCTGGCTTACCGGATAAGGAATGAATTGGGTATGGACAGGTTTTTTTCTAAATAGAAGTATATGTCCAAGAGGTATTGAGCCATTTGAGTAAAAAAATTGTACGTCCAAATGCATTTGCTGGCAAGTTCTTTGAGCAATGGTTAGAAACCACATTTTTCAACAAAACTCCACGTGACCTCTAGGTTTAATAGATTGAGAACGTCGTGAAACACAATAATCCAGAACAACAATAACCCAAGACTCCACCAAGACAAGACAGGCTCTCAAATACACTGCCCTTTATAATTGAACTATCGATACCATGTTCTTGGTTCGTTCGGTAAAGTCACGTAGAAGGGAAATAATATAAATATTAAACAATATAATATTGGATAATAGGAGTGGCGGATATTATTTTATTATTTTCCTTCTACGTGACTTTACCGAAAGAACCAAGAATATGAATCCCTGCAGTCACGAAAGCTTTAAATCAAAATGTATCGATACCATGGGTAAGGGTCATAGTTTCAAACCACAGCTGCAAATGTGGCAGTATCTGGCACTAATCAAAAGGTTTCGCCATCTCATTCAGCCATCGTTCAACTCATCCACAATGTCATCCATAATGTGGCCAATCTTGTAATAATCTGGAAGCTAAGCAGGTTTGAATCTCTTTTTGCTTGAACGGGTGACCACCACCGCCTGGGTCTCTATGCGGATGCAGGGCTGTGCTACGTGGTGGCCGGCAGAGGGCAGTGCATCATAATTAAATGTACTGCGCTTCTTACTTTTCGTGGAGAGGCGATCATCCAGCAGTGGATTGGATTGAGAAACGGGCTTTGTTACACTTCAGTCTGCTCACCCCATCTGATCTCCCCCAATGCCCGCCCTCATCAAGACATAGAGAATTGATATTCACTTTTTAGTTGGATTATATTGAAGTGCAGCTGTTAATTACGAACAATAAGACAGGACAAACAAACTATGATCATCCATTATCATTGATAAATAAACTTAAACTTGATTCACGGATCCTATCATACATAAATTAATGCACTATCTGATACCGATAAAAGTTGAAGATAATAGTATGAACAGAGTTGTGGCGGTGGGTGTGAGTCCAGGATAATAGGGAGTGGACGAATAATGCCAGTTGCGGATAATGGGAGTGGCGGATAATGGGAGTGGCGGATAATGGGAGTTGCAAATAATGGCAGTCACGGATAATGTGAGTGGTGGAAAATGGGAGTAGCAGTTAATGCCTGTAGCAGATAATGGGAGTGGAAGGATAACATAAGTCATGGATAATGGCAGTCACAGATAATGGGAGTAGCGAATATTGGGAGTGGCGGATAATGGGAGTGGCGGATAATAGAAGTGGTGGATAATGGGAGTGGCGGATAATAGGAGTGGCAGATAATGTGAGTGGCGGATAATGGGAGTGGCGGGTAATGTGAGTGGCGGATAATGTGAGTGGTGGATAATAGGAGTGGCAGATAATGTGAGTGGCGGATAATGTGAGTGGCGGATAATGGGAGTGGCGGGTAATGTGAGTGGCGGATAATAGGAGTGGCAGATAATGTGAGTGGCGGATAATGTGAGTGGCGGATAATGGGAGTGGCGGGTAATGTGAGTGGCGGATAATGTGAGTGGCGGATAATGGGAGTGGCGGGTAATGTGAGTGGCGGATAATGTGAGTGGCGGATAATGTGAGTGGCGGATAATGTGAGTGGCGGGTAATGTGAGTGGCGGATAATGTGAGTGGCGGGTAATGGGAGTGGCGGATAATGGGAGTGGCGGATAATAGGAGTGGTGGGTAATGGGAGTGGCGGATAATGGGAGTGGCGGATAATGGGAGTTGCGGATAATAGGAGTGGTGGATAATGGGAGTGGCGGATAATGTGAGTGGCGGGTAATGTGAGTGGCGGATAATGTGAGTGGCGGATAATGGGAGTGGCGGGTAATGTGAGTGGCCAATAATGTGAGTGGCGGATAATGGGAGTGGCGGGTAATGTGAGTGGCGGATAATGTGAGTGGCGGATAATGTGAGTGCCGGGTAATGTGAGTGGCGGATAATGTGAGTGGCGGGTAATGGGAGTGGCGGGTAATGTGAGTGGCGGATAATGGGAGTGGCGGATAATGGGAGTGGTGGATAATGGCTGTTGACACGCGTGAAGAACGAGGCAGCCTATCGCACAGCGCCTGTGCTGAGAGACGACCAATCGGGCTGCCGCTGTTCGCCCGAGAGAGGAAGCCGCCAGCAACACGGCCCCTTGGACGCACGGGCGGATGAGCGTGCGCTGTTGAACATCGAGGTTCGTCATCGTTAACAACACAACGACGACGATAATAAATGATGTATCGTTAAGTAGCGCTGACTGAATTAAACACCAGGGTGGCGTTTGATTATCGCTGCATACGCAGTTAGCAGCAGCAGCATCATGCGGGGTAGCCTAAGCGCTTGCCCATTCCAGAGCCTTTTGTTAGAGCGATCGCATGCGACACTCGCCAAACATCGCAATTCTGTCGTGTTTTTTAACGAACTTAACCCTTAAACGTGCGACCAGATTATCTTTTAACTCCCCCTCTACACTGTAGATGTTGCACTTTAAAACAGAGCCGCGCGTGTTTATTGTCTGCAGTTTTCTTCCGTCCATTCACGGGCCCATCCAACCAGCCACGGCCCCCGCGTCGAGGAGGTGCCCGCCCTGCGGGAGCCGAGAGCGCCAACCCCGGCCGCGGATCTAGGCGAGGGTCGGTGTCTCGCGCGGGGCCTCGCACAAGTCGCGGCCATTTGAACGATCCGCAGTTTTGGTATTTTTGAGTAGCAGCAGCAGCAGCGGCTGTCGAGGCCGTGTGTGTACGCGACCGTGTGAACGATTTTCGACAAAGATGAGGTGGACGGCGAGGGTACAATGAGCCGTGGGAGTCCCGTCAAATCGTACGACTACCTGCTCAAGTTCCTCCTGGTGGGTGACAGCGACGTGGGCAAAGGGGAGATTCTGGCCACACTGAGCGAGGACGGGGAGGGAGAACCTCCGGGATTCTGCTCCGGAGTCGGTGAGACGATTGCATTCAATTCCCTCTCTCTGTCCCCCTTGGTCTCTTCTTCCTTTCCAGCGGTTTGGGGCTGGCACCTGGCGCATCGCGTTCTCGGTGTCTCTCTCTCGCTAGGGCCGTTCTTGACAATGTCAATACCAGTCGAGGTACTCCTCTTGTTGGAGTACCTCGGTTACAATATCCGTGATCCCAACCCGGGCATTCTCTCGTTCATACGAGGACTCGACCACGAATACGCACGGATAATTTGAAGTATTTGCCGAATAAGTCCGTTTGAATGTCATTACTCCTCCTCCTCCCACCCCGGATATTTTGAAGAACCGCGTTTTGCTGACCCCCGGATTAAGCAAATTAACGGATACACGAATTAACGGAGGATACACGGAGTTTGTGTGTTCATGAGCCAGTGGCAATGTTGAGGGCTGCGTGCCACGACGGGAGGGCTTCAAGAGTGGCTTTGTGTACGATTTACAACGCCTATAATGATGGAGTGAAGACCACAGTGTGATTTACGAAACTGTCCAGGGTGGGATTGGATGACCACAATCACGCCCTGCGGCTTGTCTTTAATATGAGATGCGCGCATCATCGGCTTGTTCATTGTACGATGCAGTTGATGGTACACCAGTGTCTTCGAAGAATGTCAAAGGCAGGAGGTGTGCGATGTTTGGATCTCGAATGTAGGTGTTTATTCCGGAGGTCTGCATTGTTCCACTCAGTTTGTCAGAGTTTAGTTTTTTCTGGATACGAGTGAGATTCCTGATGGATGTGGCTACTCGTCAGTAGGGTTACCACCTGTCCGGGGTTTTTTTTAATCGGCCTTTGTCTTATTTTATTTTTCCAGGGGGGGTGGTAGGCATGTCTTGAAGTTAGCACATGTTGGTGGTGCCGATGGTTCCGCCTGTGGTGTTGAAAGTGGTTGTTCTGAGGGTAATGGTGCTGCTGTTCATTCTGGTAAGGCTTTGCTAGTGGTGGTTTGCTCGAAATAATTGTGGTGGTATTTATGGTCGTTGTAATGGTGGTTGTTTACGAGGCAGCTGGAAGCTCTATTTGAAGTTAAGAAAGTAGCCACTGGGGGGCCATGCTCTGTAGCCAGGGCTGCCCACAAGGCTGTTGGCAAGAATAGTAAATGCATTCTTCCACTTTCCTCAAGTTTAGGGGGCAGTTGAACCCCCCCACCCCCCTCTGCTCCCTATGTTCTTACACTTGTTTTAGTCACATACTGTATTATAATAACGCAGTCCGCCTGCTGTATTTTTTCACCTGTTGCGATCGAAACGTGATTTTTTATTAGTTTATTATTTTTCTATCTACGTGACTTTACCGAAAGACCCAAGAGAATAGATGTACATTTCTGTCATGCCCATTTGGATTAGTGGTGGAAACTCCACAGTTGCACGACGTGTACCATTTTGTCCGTGGATACAGCCAGCCAGTATGTTTACTTGCCAAGTAATGCATGGCTGGCGTTGTGTGTTTTGACGAACCCAAAAGGGCCCTTAAGCCCTTAGCAAGTACAACTCCTTGAGACAAAGGAAACTCTTGAATGGCTTTGTTCATCTGTTTGGTGATTGTACCAGGGTGTAAGTACACAGGTCTAAAGCTGAAGTTGCGGTACTTAATAATGGCTGTATTGTACTGATGATTCCTAGTAAATATGAAAATAGCATACAGTTATATGACTGTCCTATTGCCATCTACAATAAAACTAATTTGAATATTTTAGTTGTCTAATACAAGGGTGTTTGCAATCTTGATTTGAAGCTTTCGTGACTGCAGGAATCCATACTCTTTGGTTCTTTCGGTAAAGTCACGTAGGTAGAAAAATAATAGATCACGACGTTTTGATCGCAACACAAGCAATCGTCATCAGGTGGGACAACCACAGCAAGAAAAAAAAGCCTACTTCAGCAGTTCTTTCTTGCTGTGGTTGTCCCACCTGATGACGATTGCTTGTGTTGCGATCAAAACGTCGTGATCTATTATTTTTCTACCTACGTGACTTTACCGAAAGAACCAAAGAGTAAGGATGTGTGCATCGTACATGAAGTGTGGTGGTGTCTCATGACATGCAAATCATGTTGGGCAATCCAATATTATGGTCAAAATCGCACCTTTTGCTGTCAAGAAATCACACTTTTGTGTGTGTGTTACTGATATTTTGTCCAGCCTGCACACTTTTATATCTGATGAGTTTTGCAACATTTACAAAGCGTTTTAGAATTTCATTCACCACAAGTATATGTGGTAAATGCAGGCATGATTCCTTGCAAAGGTTTCAGTTTGGTGTTTTAACATCTTAACACCTGCTTTATTGCCAGAAGTGGAAAAACCCTATGATCATAATTTAATACTGGCAAAGGAGGTCCCATGATGTAGCTGCTCACCCCGAGCTCTCAATGGCCTGATGGTGCTTTGTCTTTGTTCTGTTCGCCTTTTGGCGTCCTCTGGTCTCACACTGTTTGAGACTAGGCTCTAAAGAAAGCTGTCTCTGGTGTGGACCAATCGATTTCAAAGACAATGCACATACTGTCAGAGCATGTTTTTTTCTTTGCATGTTCACCACAAGTATATGTGGTAAATGCAGACATGATTCCTTGCAAAGGATTCAGTTTGGTGTTTTAACATCTTAATACCTGTTTTATTGCCAGAAAGCGGAAAACCTTGTTATCATAACGTGTTAGAATTTGCTGAAGTAAAAAAAAAATCTGAGTTTTAAAACCTGGAAATTACTGTTGAACATACACAATGAAGACATTTCAATTAGCATTGTAGATGTTGGGCGGTTGTTGGTTATAATGCTCATTATCAGCAGCCTCTATCAATTGCATAAGTATCATAGTAATTAATAATCGGTAATATAATTCATCATATTTAGTGACACTGACTTTACACCATCAACATCAGTGATGTCACCGGCAGATACAGCAAAGATGGCCACTAACAATGCATTGGTTAATAGGTTTAGACTGTTATGCTCAGATACATGCATAGAATGCTATGTTTAAGAGACATTTAATATTCATGTAAATGATAGAAAATGATGATCATGCTACATTTCGGTGAATAGAACAAAAGCATTTCTACAAACTGGACAAATATATGAAAAACAATCCAATGAGACCAAAAAATCATGACAGTCCATCGAGTTGCTTGGGGATTTCAATGCTACATGCCTAATGGCCACCATCAGCTTTAGTATCAGACACGTTGCCAGTATTGTTTTCATCAGCTATTCCCAGTCCTTTGTGAGATCACTGTGGGATCAAAGCCTTTACCATATTGGCGGCCCTACAGTGTCAAATTCTGTTCTTCCCGCATACTTTTGCTTCACCCCCCAATGCTCCATCTGTATCCACCTGGGTTGATCCCACATGTGTTCGACTTTTCTTAGATGCCATTCAAAGTAACTATTTTTGCTCCTCACTTGTCGCCTCATTGACATGTCCTGTCCTGAAGTCGTCTTGTTTAGTAGTAAAGGCAAAGGCAACGATTCCTGTTCTGCAGACCATGTGGCTGATCTGCCTACATATTACCACTCGCCACATGTATAATTATTGCGCAGTTACAATAAATAATAGTTTAAGATACTGTACTAATTGAGTAAAATGAATGTGCAGATGTTCCATTTGTTGAACGACATAGCATATGACTTCCATTGACAATAAGTTACTTCTCTAAATTTATACCGTCTCTTTAATGTTATTTTGTTTAATATACAAAACGTGTTTGAATGGTGTTCATAGCTTTTAATAGATTCTGACAAGGTACTCATGAATTATGATTATGCTGCTTTAGTGAGGTTGAAATTTCTGTTTGTGATGATCTGTTTAACACCGTTGATGCAGTTTCACTCTCGTGAATATCATGACTTGTTTTGATATACTGTTATAATTTCAATGCTTTTAATTGTTTTTTTTATCTGTAGGCGTAACCTGTAAAACAACAACAATCCTTCTGGATGGACGACGTATTAAACTCCAGCTCTGGTAACTTGGAACACAAGTACCGTAATTGTATAGAACAGTAAACATTTGTAACACAATCTGGTGCAACGGTAATAGCTGTTGTGCAGTAGCGAATGTTGAGCTTTTCATGCCCCAGTGAGATTCATTGTCACTTAAAAAATAGACAGTTTTTAGAAGCTAACCTCATACAAATCCCAATTTTAACTTCTCATCCAGCCGTAAATACGAGTAATTTTTTGCTTATACGTTGCTAACTCATAAATGTCTTGATCAATGAGGGTTTATTTACGTACCTATTTTTTTGTTTTAAGACATCGTTGAATATCCATTGTTTTTTCCTGGGAGGTGCACCAACAATTTACACATGGTTCTGAATTGTGTTCATGCAGGGACACGTCAGGACAGGGAAGGTTCTGTACAATCTTTCGCTCATACTCCCGTGGCGCACAGGTATTTGAGAATATATCATGCACGTTGCATCACCTCAAATTCTCCGCATTCAATTGTGAAATCACTTGCAAATGGCAGCAACCCGTGGTTTCCAAATAGCCGACCCATGAATATATTTTTTTTACACCATTACATTACTTCAATGTTTGTGACTGCCTTTATGATTGTCTAAGTAATGTTTATTTTCATTAGTATGTGCCTTTAAAAACGGCAATGATATAAATCATACAGGACGCACCACTGCTGTAGCGCCCTGATGAAAGACACAAAATATAAGCCTCTTAACATGTCCCAAGAGGCCTTTTTTTTCATTAGCAACTACAGTTGTGTTTTTTTTAATCTTTGGACTCTGTTGCTTCCAATAGGGCATAGTGTTGGTCTATGACATCACCAGTCGTTGGTCTTTTGATGGAATCGAGAGATGGATCAAAGAAATTGATGAGGTGAGAACGTTGGTCCTTTATTCCCAATTTAACCAGTTTACTTGCCTACACGTGTGACCCGAGACGAGTGAGAAGCAGCTAATAATTAAAAGTGCACGCATACAAGATGCAGTTAAGAGGGCAGTGGCAACCTAACCAAATGACAATCACATACTTTTCGATTTAAAGCTTTCGGGACTGCAGGGATTCATATTGTTTCTTTCGGTAAAGTCACGTAGAAGGGAAATAATAAAATAATAATAAATAAACAATACAATTCTCACATTGTTTTATTTTCATTATTTCCCTTCTACGTGACTTTACCGAAAGAACCAAGAATGTGAATCACATACTTAGTCAAATTATGCTCTATACAAATATGATCGAATCCAGCGATGTTGCTCTCTCACGTCTGATATATCTGGCTAGTGAAGACGTTTGGGTGTTTTTTATGTTATGTTAAATTGGCGTAACGATCCGTTTGTGACCTCGCGCGCACGCCTGCAGCATGCGCCAGGTGTGCCCCGAATCCTGGTGGGCAATCGCCTGCACCTAGCGTTCAAGCGGCAGGTCAGCACGGAGCAGGCGCAGGCCTATGCGGAGCGCCACAGCATGACCTACTTCGAGGTCAGCCCGCTGTGCAACTTCAACATCACCGAGTCGCTAACGCAGCTCTCGCGCATCGCCCTCATGCGGCACGGCATGGAGCGCCTCTGGAGGCCCAACCGAGGTAAGTATCGTCTGCGAAGCATCGCGTTGTGACAGCGAGAGTGTCGGCAGCACTATGAATGCCTTGGTGGCGAACGTGATTAATGTGCTCGGTCGTGGTGCCACAGTCCTGACATGTGATGCTGGGAGCGATGGAGATTGTGAAATATGTTGGAGTTGGCAGATGCTTGCCTCCTTTATGGGGCAATATTGTTACATTTCCCAGGTCAAAGCTGCACTGTGGATTAAAGGGATTTATTGGCCATAACTCGAAAAGTGTGTGAAATACCTCACCGCTATATGGAGATTCAATGTGTCCATACAACCAGTACACAGGTATGATGTATAGTTTATACGTGAAATGTGTTTTTGGTTTAATGGGATCATTTGTTTCGACTTCATCATGTTACATGAAATTTCGGGTGGAGCAGTGGTTAGCACAGTGCTTTATGAACCCAGCAACTTGAGCTTGATTCCAGTCTATGGCTAAGACCAGTGGTGAGTGATGTCTGAACGGGTCCGACGAACACACTTCATCAACCTCACTGACCATCTCGGTGAAACAAGGTCAGATAACTCCCAAGATCCAAAGGCATCATCCAGCAGTGGACAGATAGTCCTACGTCTTTTTTGGTGCAACTTAGTTTGCAAGTCTTATAATTTAAACTTTAATTATTTAATATTTATATTCATACTGAAATCTTTATATAGTAACACCGTTAAATATATTTTTCATTGTGAAATTGGACTAAAAATACATGTAAATATCGTTTATCTGATCCAGATTTTTAACGATATAAAAATTCCCAAAAATTGCTGGGAAATGGTTATTTCAATCTAAATTTCAAATGTTTTAATTTAGAACCTTTTATACCACATTATTTAAAATAGTACTAAAGGAGTTAAATCGGACATTAATTAATTGAAATGACTTAAGTAACATACTCCAGACATGAGCCAGGCTGATTGCTGAGTGAGATAGGCCAAGCAGACTGTCATTAAACAACCGGGTTTTGTGCTTCGACAATATAATATTCACTCGGGGAAACGTCTCCTATTTACATTTACACAAATAGAATGACGGGTCGACCACCACACGCGCCAGGGCTATGCCACGTGGTGGCCTGAAGAGGGCACTGCAGCAGAAGCCAATGTACTTTGCGTCTACATCTTGTGGAGAGGCCATCGTTCAGTCGTGGATTGACAAAAAGCTTGTACATAACAGTAGAATATGCAGCATGCTAATATTAATGAAAATGTGTTTGTCTTAATTGTGGAAAGACAGCAGAAACATTAAACGACTTTTTATTTTGAGATTGTGCTTTTACGTGTGCTGTACAAATGCTGGAAAATGTTAAACTATAGTAAGAGGGACGTTTCGTTGAGTGCAATTTCCAACTGTCAGCCAATCTTTTCACCCTCTCCCTACTTTGAAGTAGAACCATTGCCCAAACCATTCGGTGACTAAATATGTTGTTGTAAGACGGTGAAAGTGGTGGTTTTGTTTTTACAAATTTAACGATAGACGTAGTGCTTAACCTTTCCTTGACATGACAGGGTCCCTGGTAACACTAACGTGTATTATTCCTCAGTGCTGAGCCTGCAGGACCTGTGCTGCCGGTCCATCGTCTCGTGTACGCCAGTCCACCTCATTGACAAGCTGCCTCTCCCCGTGACGGTGAAGAGCCACCTCAAGTCCTTCTCGATGGCCAACGGAATGAACGCCTTCACCATGCACGGCCACTCTTACTTCCCACACACGAGCAACGCCGGGAAGAGGAGCAGTCTGAAGAAGTCTCCCTCCATCAAGGCCACACGGCCAGTGCTGTCCCCTCCCGAGAGCTGCACGAGGAACAGCTGTAAAATATCTTAGTCGTCAAAGCAAACCCCCGTCCTTGGTCTGAGAACCATTTTGTTGGCCCAGTCTTAATGTTATTGTGTTTCGTTCAGAGAGGACTCTTCGTCATGTTTGAAATGTTGTTTATGGGAGATTGTCAAAAAAAGTTACACTTTTAAAGGATTGTAGGTCATCCTATGCACTTTTTGCTATCAGTGTTTGGTCATCTTTGTGCAGGTGTGTATATGTACAAGTGTGCAACCTTGTGCACTGCTTTTGTTGAAGCTGAGCAAAACCGATTTGGATGGGGATAGTCATGATTTATTGTGGTGTTGAATTGACTGCAAACTTGTACAGTGTAAATATATTGACATGTACACTCGTGTACATATCTCTCGTAATGTTTTTCATCCTTTTTATGGCGTATAAAGATCTTCCTCAAGTTGGGTTTTTTAATACATGGTCAAGGTGATATTCACAAACAAGGTCTACTATGGGTATTTATTTGTAGTAGGTTTTTTTACGAATTCTCACGAATTTCTGGCTCTCAGTGATCTTCTATGGCTTCAGTCATGTCCTGAAGCGGTCATTTTGAGCTCGAAGATGCACCACTCTAAGAATATGTTTACAGGTTTTTAAAATATTTTAGGACATAAGCTTACACAGCTAACATATCGTGTGCAACACACTTAGTTACAGCAAGCAGAGCATGGGGAACTTTGGAGTGCCGTGCAAGCAACAGAGCCATTACACGTGCATCAAATGTTAGCCAATTTGATAGCTTTCATTTGTTTGGCTGTTTTGTGTGTTAATTATTGATAAAAAAAAGTGTACGTGTGATACTTGCTGTCATGATGTATTTTAATAGTGGCATGTGCCAACCGCAGTGTTCCATGTGCTTGACATGTTTATACGAAGCATAGATTTGTCCACCGTTATGCAATTGTCCAGCAATGCACAATGGTTTAAAACACTCAATTTATGTAGGTATAAAGTGTGTGTTTAGGCCGTTGTACACTAATAAATAGCTACAGCGCTGGAATCTGAAAATCGCAGCCTCCACAGACATGGCGTCTTAAAGTTAAGTGGTACACACATTTTAGTACGCAATCAATTTATGTAAAAAAAGTTGGGTCTGTGCATCTTGCTGTTGGCCTCGCATACAAATGTATTTTTTTGCAAAGTAGCATTGTGTCTGAGTGAAATGTGTAAGATGTGGCGGGCCTGCTTGTTGGGGGAACTGGTTTCAGCATTTGACATGGAGGGGAAGGATCAAGGAAAAGTAAATAGTTAAACAAATCTCTCTCTCTCCGACCTCGAGTTGGTGCATCCCATGGTGCATACATCATGCTGAGTATAGTCCTGGAGTTCTGTGGCACCATTTCAAGTGGGCAGGGAAGCTCTTGTCATTACAACGGATTAGTGCAGGTAATTTCGAAAACAATAGTGAACCAGAGGAAATGATTAGTTGCCCCAGCAAGTGCTGGCCTGTGGCCAGACCTGTTCTTCAGGAAGGCTATGTGGATTTCTTGGATGGAAAACCTGTGGAGCTTACCGCTTTTCTGATTTGGTTTCTGTTTTGGCGGACGGTATGCAACTGGAAGTAGGACAAGAAATGTACATTTGGTCGACCAGCTTGGCTTGGCCATTCGTGATGAGCAGCTAATAACCTTGATGTGATTAGAACCACAAGCCAAACACTACTACAGCAACCTGTGAGCAATACAGCTTCTTAATGAACAAGAAAACGGTGCAATCGGAGCAAATGTTCAACTCTGTCCTACGCCCCAATGTGGGCGACTCCAATTTGATTTGGCACGGCATCCCTGTTGTTTGGAGTGATCTGGTGAATTGTGTATTGCGTGGCACCAGAAATATAATATTTTTAGATCATTACAATTGCGTTGCACATGTTGGGCACATGTCAGTGCGAGACACACTCAGGAGTTCATGATCCGTGTTTTATTGACGTTTGACTTGATAGTCTGTTTCATTTTCATTGTGGAATTGTTTCAAGTGGTTTAACAGGTTTCATTTGAAACCAAAGATATTTTAATGTGCTTGTGAAGTGGACAATGGTGGTGTATTTTTCATGTAAAGTGTAACGCAATTTTGCTTAACTATTTCATAAGGGGATGACGAGTAATAGTGTGTTTTATAATACGTAGTTAATTTGATAATTATAATATGTATATAAACTTTAATAAAATAGTGCTGTTGAAATTGATTGTACCTTTAGCCAGTTTTGAAAGCACATTTGCAGATCTATGCAAAAAGACTTAAAAAAGAACATTTAGTAGTAAGAGTGCATGATGTTATTGTTTCATGCATACCATAATCTGGATTGTTTTTATTTTGAATGGGCATTGACATGTATATTAAATGTTCCTGTTGGACAACAATATTAGTTGATTGAGTTTGTTGTCAAAAACGAGGGACTTTTGTTATAGACTTATGAACCAAATTAGTTGGAAAAACTTCACACACTCCAGAGCATCTGTTAAACACTCAGCTTTTCGTGTCTTGTGAGAAAGCTGGCAAACCAAAACAAACTTAAAATTTTCAACAATGTATTTTAAACCGGCAGTTTTTTTTATTCCATGCACCGTTGGCAGGACAATATTTTTTCATGACATCAGCACTTAAGTAGTTAAAAGTTATTGCAAAACTCACCATCAGCCAAGAGTGGTCATCCTATGGATATTTCCTCCCTCCCCACCACAGAGGTGGAGTTTAAAACACCGACTCGAGGCTATCAACAGATGGGCGCTGCTTAAATGGTCGTGGAGGAAGACATCTGATCTGTGTAACATGTTTTCAAAATGTGTCTTGTTGCATACGTTCAGGTTTAACTTTGTATATTTATCTCTATCAAACAACTCGGTACATCACCACAAGTGTTGTCTTCAAGGTTTGCCATCACAATTTGGTCTGCCTTTCGGCTTCAATATTTGTTAATATTAAAATATAAAGCTCAGTCCCAGAGGGCTTGTACTGTGTTGTATTTTACCCAGTAAATCCTAAATCGGGGTCCGCATGAATTGGGCATGTTTACTGTGCACCGTATCTGTAAAATATAAATGCATTTAGCCATGTACTGACATTGGCCTTGCATATAGATTCTAGCAACATCTCTTTCTGCATTAGTACTGATAGAGTGTTAATGTGTAAAGGTTAGGGCATGAAAAAACGATAGGAAGAGGAAATGATCGATGAATTTAATTTATTGACGCTTGAAAAACTACACCCTTTGGTAAATTAAAATAAATACATAGTTAAACAATATATATGCAAGCCCCATCAATGGGGAAAAAGTCTTACTTCCTGAGGTTGATACAGTATATCAAAAAGTCTTGAAAATTATTTATACAAAGGCGTGTGTAGCTGCTTCAACTTTAAAATCACAAGCTGTTGAAAAAATTGTATTTTGGTAAATTATAATAATACAAATGAAGTGGCGGTAGCTGTACGGTTGTGCACTATTCTTAAACATGTTTTTTTGTTAATTAATGACGTGTAGCTAATATTTGACTTTGTTATTTCATTGACCACACATTTGGTACTGAGGAAACATGTACGGTGGCGAGATGTGAACTACATCCCCTGATATGCTGGAGGTCGTGGCTTCGATCCCGACCCTGACGCCTCTATATTTGAAGTTTGTGTCTCCCCATGGTCACGTGGATTTTTCTCCGGGTCCTCCGGGTTTCCCCTCCACATTTAGAAACCTGATTAAGAGCATTTGGCTGCTATAATTTCCACATGATAAGCCACTTCGTTGAGCCACTTGTGGCCAGGTGAAAAAAGTTATATATCTTAATTGGCCTTACCTGATAAAATAAAAAATAATGCGGCTCATTGTCACACCGCCAACGTCTTCAAGAAATGTCCAAGCCATAGGGTGCAATGTTTGGGTCTCAAATGAGGTGTTGATTTCCGGACGTCCACGTTGTTCCACTTTGTTCACCAGCGTTTTTCGGGATCTGGGTGAGATTCCAGGATGGCGACAGGATGATACCAGACGGCATGATATATTATGACCTCAGCACGGGACCGGTACAAAGTTCAAATACATCGACATCACTCCAGAGAAGACAGTCTTGTTGCGGTAATGCACCGTTTTTAGTTATTTATGGAGTAATTTAAATAATTGGATTTTAGGAAGTTTAAAAATATATTTAATTAGGTCCCTTGTGAATGCCATTGGATTTCAAGTGAAGCAGTAATATGCTGTCAAACCATCTGTTCAAGCTTTGGGGAGCTCATTGAATTGTGCCACCTTTTGACCCATTGCCTTTGTGGCAGTAAGCACAGCTGCTACGTTGGTGATTGCTATTGATTACAAAGCGAGACGACGACATAAGCAACAACTGGTCATGCAATCACATGCTGTCATATCCGAATGTGGTTAAATGTTGAATTTTATCCTAGGCTAAATAAACATCTAACCTAGCAGAAGCAATCTGACGCCACTCTATATTACTGCATCACAGTTCTTCTTGATGTCCCACGTAATAAAACAAACATTCGAATTTTTTTTTAAACCAGTGGAATGCAAATATCTTGCTGAATCAGCTGTAACAACTAGATTTGTGCAAACAAATGATATCCATATTCAGAGATTAATCCATGGTTTAATACTGCATTTGAATCGCGGGATCATGAGAAAAGGCGATGATATTCGGTTGCAATTGGGTACAAAAAAGTGGTCGATTATAATCGTTTGTAAATGAATCTACTTAATCCGCGACTCGTCCCATCTCATACCTGTCAACCCATCCGGTTTACCCGTAGTCTTGAACAGGGAAATTGAGTTTTCAGGTCCATACGGCGTCCAGCCGTTTCAATACGGGCAAAAAAAATGTATATTTGTGTTTCTCCCTTGCGATGGGACTTTGTAGAATGAACGTCGAGATGTATAAGGGCACGGGGTGATCAATACGTTCTGAATCGGTCTGTAATAAGGTAGGCACTGACAAGGGGTTGACAGGGATGCCATTTCCAATTCTAAATGCCTAGGCAACCCCCCCACCCCCTCAACCCCCGTCATGGAGATTTAACTTGTGTTGTTTCCCTCTGCGGGCCAATCTATACAACTGCAACATGGTATTGTAGGCAATCCAAAGCCATTATTCACAAGCTGTGTGGACAATACAGTTCCGTGCTGTGTTGTCAAATACAACCTAATGAGAGTGAAATTCGTATCGTCCACCTTCAACTGCAGTTGCGTGGACGTGCCCTCTGCAAATGCATAACTCCTCTGGGCTTAAGCCCCAGGGCAAAGTGAAACCGTCCAACTTGCCAACACCGGACTACACACATGCCTCCGGCACTGTATTAGACTCAGTGCAATACTGCAAACATTTCATGAAGTGCATGCTAACACGTAGAAAGGTCCACATTTAAATCAAATACTTGCAGCCGCTACATGGTGATGAAAAAAATGTCTAAAGTTGCCAAGACTGATGATGCACACTTAAGCTCAACCGTGAAGTTGAGCTTAAGTGTTTCAAGGTGTGGGGGGGGGGGAGCACACATCGACGCACGTGGCGGTTGGGGGTGGGGCGAACAATCAATGTCAAGCAAATGGTAAACACAATGAACAATCGATGGTGAGTTCTGCTTTGTCTTTTTGATTTCTGCTTCAGCTACCCCATCACCACCCCGTGTCCATGAAAAAAGGTTGTGACACCCAACCCTGAATTATACATATTTGAAAATTGTATCAACAATTTTTTTTCCCGATTAGAAGAAATCAGAAGGCGGGGGGGGGGGGTCCTCATCCCTGTTCTGACTCCCCCCTACCCCGAACGCGGCTGGGCTGCTTTAGCCACTCCCGAAGAACATTCTTTACATTCGCAGGTCACTCGTTTATTTTGTTTCTTTTGTATCGTGACGATCACCCGAGAGGGACGTGTGTTCACGCTCTTTTTTCCGTCATTTAAAGCACATTTAGGGTGACTAATGTGTTTCTTCACGAGGGCGTGTGGCGTGGGTGTGTCAGAAGCAGTGCGTTCCAGTTTGGGCCGCGGGTCTGGGTCGGTTTGGTCCAGCGCAGAGCAGATCCAGCGCTCTGGTATGTTGTTACCTTTGGGAAAGTAAAAAAAAGCCAAACCATCAGGTTCACTCACCCGATAGGGAACTTGCCTTTTCATGCCAACTTAAAAAAAAAACGATGCCAGAGCCGTGTAAAAAAAATGTTGTGCAAAAAAGTGTACATACCACAGCTTTCAGAAGTTGTGTTTTCCGTGGTACGTCTGTGATATCTGATTTGCAACTTGAGTGGGCTTCTCTCAGTGATCTAACCACTGTAACTTGTTTGATATGTTTACGTGTGTGTTATAAAACTAAACTATTCAAACTTTTTTTTATTTTACCAGGTAAAGCTCACTGAGCTGGAGAGCGCTTTTTCAGAAGCGACCTGACCATCACAAATGACAACTCAACGAAGTGGCTTGTCATCGTGTGGGAATTTATAGCAGCCAAAATACTCGACTCGCGTGGTGTTAATTCGTAATGTGGAGGGAAAAACCGGAAGACCTGGAGAAAAATCCACGCGACCACAGGGAGAACATACAAACTCCAAATACGCAGGCGTCGGGATCGGGATCGGGATCGACCCCACGACCGACTTGCATACCAGGCGAGGGAGTTCACATCTCGCTACCGCGCCGTCCCCTACCTATTTGGGTGCTATTGCAGTTAATGGTTCGCAGAGCGAACTTTGCAATACAGAAGTCGCCAATTCGATCTCCCCGCACGGCAGTTTAAACGATCGGCAAGTTGATTAAATATTAGCAAATGCAAATGGTCATTTTTAGCCGAGTTTGGAGCTCCAAGTTTTCGGAAACATTTCATCAATTTGGATGGTTTTCAATAGGACACGTTGCGAATAACGCAACACCATCATCAAGTTTTGTTCATATTGGATCATCATTGCGAGCGTCAGTGCCTCCTCCGTTACGAACGGGACAGAGTTATTAATAACATAAACGCTTTCAACCTTAGTTGGTAAGCGTACACAACGCACAGGGTTATGCAGTTATTAAATTTCTGCTGGAATGCTGAGAGCAAAAGGTAAGTTGAGTGGTTTTCTGGACAACATAAATATATCCCATCTAACGGCTGTGTCCACACTGCTGACATTACATACCGGGCAGCAAATACACAATTTCAATTTTAAACGCACAGGGAGCGAAAGCCCACTCTAAGCAAATTTGTATTTTTTTTTGTGCCATAAGCAAATGTGTGCCGTCTGCTAATTAGAATGTGTTCTCTGTGTGGGCGCAGGGAGACGGTGAGTGCTCGACATTGTCCCTGAATCTCAAAGCGGAGAGTGTTTCTCGTCTCATTTTAATTGCATTCGTTCTATTAACAAATCGCCCATTTGTCAAGCAACTATAATAAATGGGGGCCGACCCACGCGGCGCTGTACCGTGGGGATGTAATTGACCACACTGCACCGCGCCGATCAGTGCGGGTTTGCGAAAGTGGGCAGCATAAAAAAACGTACAAGCATAGAAGCACAGTACAACAATGGATTGTGCTCGCTATGTTCACGGTGGCCGCCCGTTCAAACACTTTACAGGCTGAACGCTTCTTCGCAAATGAGTTCATCATGCACATTCTGGGTGATTTTGTTCATAGGCACTCTATTAACACAATCACGAAAATGTGTGATCGGCATGCATATTTCATACACACGTGTGTATGTTTAATTTACATCTCACCACACAGTGGTGAGAATTTACATCTCACCAAATTACCTCGCCTGGTATGCAGGAGGTAGTGAGTTCGATCCTGACCCTGACGCCTGCTGTATATTTGGAGTTTGCATGTTCTCCCTGTGGTCGCGTGGATTTTTCTCCGGGTCCTCCGGGTTTTCCCTCCACATTTAGAAACGTGCGTTTAGAGTATTTGGCTGTTATAAATGTCCACATGAGCTTTCATTTGTAGCCAGTTCGCTTCTGAAAGAGCTCTATAGCAGCTCAGTGGGCCTTACCTGGTAAAATAAAAAAAATAGTTTAGTGTGCAAGGTAGCCAGTGGACAACGGTGCATAACTGGATTACTGAATCCATCTGTACAAACCATGATTATTTGTGGCTTTCTCCAAGTACTCCAGTTTCCTGACACATGCAAGACGCACAATGGAGCATTGATAACCACTGGATATGTGGTACAATTCTAAATGTTATCTACCCCAGAGGGATGATGGGTTTGAAACAAGACTTGGACTCGCAACCTTCCGATTGCGAGCCACTTGGTCTGTAACTGGCGTTTACTCGGATCGAATTGAGGTGTTTTTTTATGGCAGAGGTGCACTGTTGGCAAAACACAATGCTATTAAAGTACACCTCGTTAATGTGGTAAAATAACCAACCCACTGAGTCACCACCGCATGTGCAAAATGAGCTGTTTGCCTGGATATCTGATAGGTGGACGATTAAACTCACCCCGCCACCCGCCACCGCCCTCACAGCGTACATTCTGGGAAGCGTGACCTGGCCGACCTATTGGAGAGACGGTCAATTTGCCCCAGAATGGGAAGCAAAAGAGCCCAATGCACTCAAAGGAGGCGATTGCATAGAACTGCATTGTGTGGCCAGCAAAAGGCTGGCTTACCCTCCACAATAACTGGATGCCTATACAGGTCACCCACCATACGTCGATGGTGATTAATTGTGAGCAGACAGATCCAGGTATTGCGGTTTCTTGCACCAAAAACCGCAGGATGTACATGCATCTTATGTGCATGCATAATGTATGTTGATTACCCAATTAATAACCCAACCGGTATTGGATATCCATTGTAATGTATATGACTACATTCACCCCCCCCAACCCCGTCATCTGGCCTCGCACCTGATTGGCTCACAATTGATGACATCATCACATCTATCCCTCTATTTCAGAGCGAAACAGGAGGATTTCTCCACAACTCTGGCTGTCGCCTGATGATGCTGGTTGCAATTCCTGCCGAAGCGTCGTACTCGAATTGGAAATGTTGTGGCTTTACTCTCCAACACACCGGTGTTGTTGTATTAGTAACGAATTGGCATGTTATGTTTACGTGACAAACCTTACTAATTGGCTGTGTCATGTGGTGGCGGGTTTAACGACACATTTATATTTACGCCATCTAACCCAAAACCTCTATTATGGATGATATTGGATCGCGAAAGCCTCCTACCACGACGACGACTACTACTACGTGTTAAACCTGGCCTGACCCTGTGTGCCGAGCGCACTTTGTTTCGTCAACACGTTTAACGTGGGTGAGTGATTGCCCACGATGATTGTTCGTGCTTGTGTAACAACTCCAACTAAATCAGTCGTGTCTCCCCCCCCCCCCCCCCCCTCTTTATTTGCGTTATAATTCCCGGGTATATGTTTAACATCGTAGTGTGCTGTAATGCGATATCTTTACAAAGTATATTTAAAAGTTATAATAAAGATGCCTTTATATTTAAAAAGAAAGAAAAACGGTAAGATGCAGGCCTGCCAATGGCTGGCTCACACCACTGCGAGTGGGAATTCAGGTCTGGAGAGCACCTCGACAGGGGATTGTGGCCAACTCCACCACTCTGGCCAGACGACTTTGGAAGAGTTGAGAGCTCCAACACGTCACCCTACAGCACGTGACCTGCTGATCAACTCTGGTGCATCCATTTTCTTTAACGTGGACAGTGACATTGGCTTCAACGGCCGCTCCAGCAGATTTAATGAAACCATCGACCACAACGCCAAGTGGCGACAACCATTGCAACGATCACAGTGGGCATTGCACCTCTTACAAAATGTCAGGCCAGCTGTGGCACCACAGGCCCAAATACCCCCAAGAGAGGCACTTCACTCGGGCACATTCTCGTGGTGGCCTTTCCACCAACAGCGGCATGAGAAATCAACTGCAGGGGCGCATGGTGTCCACGCATACTCTTCCTGACGTAACTCGGTAAGCTTATTAACCGTTACATTACCGTAATGGCTGTTTTGTGTAAACCACGTTCACCGTGTCATAAACTTAATGTTCTGTATCTTCATTAAAATCTCTGATGGGTCAATGGTTGCTGAAGCTGGTTCAAGCAGTGGTGGTGATGGCTCATTGAGCAGAACGCATTCTTTGGGACCCCCTCTCCATTTATAAACTCCTAGTGAGACGACAGAAGGGATACATACACGAGATAGAGATGTAGCAAGATGAGAGGAATGTGGACACAATATAGTGAGAGAAAGACAGCTACAGATGAGACAAATGTAGTGAAATGAAAGAGATGATAAATAGAGAGATGCAGTGAGATGAGAGGTTATAGCTGAGAATAAGATAGAGGTGATACATTAATTAGCTTATTTTGTTTATTTTTGTTAATGTTGATTAGGATCAGAATTTTGGTGCATCTGATATTTGGTGCATTGCTCAAAACATTTTTGGGGCTTTAATTTGTTTTAATGCACCACTGGGTTAAAGAATACACATTTGCTGTTACTTTTCTAAATACACATGGTTTTTCAATTGCATGTGATGATAAGTATTAATTATTTATACTTTTCTGTGCAACCAATAAGAACATGAGTATTTTTTTTTATATTTGTCATATTGGCATAGCTGTTTGTACTGAAAGTATAAAAAAAGTCTTCAGAATATTTGAAAAACACTATTCAACACACACGTTGTCAGTTGTTATATTCAGAATAGGTTTTCCCCTTTTTTCTGGCAACAAAACAGGTGTTGAGATGTTAAAACACCAAACTGAAACCTTTTACAAGGAATCATGTCTGCATTAACCACAACACTTGTGCTCAGAATGCAAACAAAAAACACTCTGATAATATATGCATTGTCTTTGAAACTGATTGGTCCACCCAAGAGACAGCTTTCTTTGGAGCCTGGTCCCGAACGGTGCTAGACCAGAGGACGCCAAAAGGTGAACGCCAAAAGGCCAAAAGGTGTCCGCTGGTCGAACACCGTTTGGAACTAGGCTCAAAAGAAATATGTCTCTGGTGTGGATTAATCAGTTTCAAGGACAATGCATATATTCAGTGATTTTTGCATTCTGATCACAAGTATTGTGGTTAATGCAGACATTTTTCCTCGTGAAAGGTTTCACAGTTTGGTGTTTTAACAACTCAACATTGATTCTTGGTTCTTTCGGTAAAGTCACGTAGAAGGGAAATAATAAAATAATACAAATAAAACAATAAAATGTAATTTTTTTCCCCTTCTACGTAAATCCCTGCAGTCACGAAAGCCTTAAATCGAAACTCGCTAGTTTTGTTGCCAGAAAAAAGGGGAAACCCTATTATCATATTTTGGTACTGGCAAAGGAGGTCCCATGATGTAGTTATATTCACTTTATTTATCTCAAGTCAAAATATTGAAATGTAAGTACACGTTACACATTTTAAAATCAATGACTGGGGCAACCCTATGAACTAGTTTTACAAACACCATCTCTACAAGTTCTATGTCTAAAAACCACTCAATGATTATATTGATCATCCCAAACTATGGTAGCGAGACTATTATATGATCAATATGCAATGATACTTCAGGAAATGTGTAGGCAAGTAGGCATGCTATGATACATTGATTCGTTGATTTAAAGGTACCACCATTCATACATACAATCAATAATTCAGTTGTGAATGTGAGAATAGAATGTTTGTAAGTTATGCCAATTAAATGGCCGAGCATGAAAGAGTAGGCCAAATACCATCTCGAGTGGCTCTTTAGAACTCTCTCTTGTGGAGGCCCTTCTGCCAGTAGTGGCATGAGCAAGCAATTGCAGGGCTGCACCTTTACCTATACGGCATATTTGTACGTGCTAATGTTAATCTATTATAATGGGAGTGAACAAAACTGTACAAATTAAACAAAAAAACTCAGCAACAATCAACAGTAGAAATTATACATAATGGAAGTCTCATGACCCTTTGACCCCAAATCATAACAATTCATTAAATTACTCTGTGCGTGTTAACAGCGAATCATTACATGCCTATTAGGCAGTGATACTATAATTATCTTATTTACCATTGCTAATGTCATTAAAATAGGAAATTTATAGGAAAATAGTTGCAGACTTGCAGTTTCTTCTCATAGAGGACAGCATGTGATATAAACTATAGTAGTTTGACAGTGCCGATGATGGAAGGTAGTTTAGCCCATGTGTTGCAATTTCTAATTTCTCCATACAAATGTTGATACAAAGTCATCTTACTTTTGAAGCGATTTATGGGACAGTGCCTTACGTGCCCGAAAGTAATTTTTCTTGACCTTAGATGAGTTACTGTACAACACTATGCCTTTTTAAATGAACATTTTATAGTTTAACTTTTAATTTCCACACTTTGCAACACTGCCCAATTCACGCAAGAAAAAGCACTCGTTCCATTGCAGTCAGGAGCTGTAAGATGTATGTTTACATGGCAGGATACACTTTTACACCACGTAACCGTGCCATGAAATCATAACAATGGCCCGAACAACATTCACCAGTGATGGTAGTCTGACAAATCGAGCCATCAGTGTCTCATTCTTGAATTCCAGGCCAGGACCCACGAGGCTCAGGCCGAGGTGTGAAAGCCAACAGGTCAATATCAAGGCCAGTCAAGGTCAAATTCTTTAGGCTGAGGCAGTATGAGGGTCGGCGCCTCTACGCCTGGGGTCGGGCAACCTTAGTCTCCAGAGGCGCATGCAACTGTTTGCAGACTGCGTCGTGACGTAATGTATGTATTCATGTGCATCGGCGGCTCTTTTGTTACCGAATTCAGAGAAAATTAATTGGCTCTTCTTGTTATTTTGGTTTCGGACCCCCCACCTCCCTTTCCCGCTCTAAGCCAAGTCCTCGGATCGAGGCCAGGCCCCCGAGGCCAGGCCAAGAGATCTGAGCAGGGGCTGGCTCGAGTACCTGAGACTGGTTGGCTGTATTCTGGACGGTCTAAATGCTCAACAATAAAAATATTAGATGATTCACAGAACATGTTAATGATTTCTTACATTAGGCTTACTGACATACAAAAAAACCACAAAGGATACATAGCAGCAGTTCGCAACGAAAACCTTAAACTCCTGTCTGCACTGGGCATATTTGTCTGCAAACACATGGGCAGCATCGACTAAGGCTATTATATTGGCTACAAATAAAAAATGACAGGCAAATCAGCCTACTATAACATTTATTTCTAATTTACCATGCTTATAGTGATTAAACTTGCTATGCGTGTGAATATGTATTTTGTGATATAATGGTTAATCACCATTTTTTATAGGGCTGATTGAAATGACTTCATAATATTGCACCTTACAGTCACTTTACTCCATTGGTTAAAACATTCGTTTTTGTAGTGGATGGGCCCGTTCATCCAGCAGTGAATGAACGGGCCCTTCAAGTGACCCATCCCGCTGCATATGGGAGCAATGTTGTCACATGCGAGGCCAACCGATATTTTAATTCTCAGAGCTGAAAGTACAGAACCATAGATTTGCTTTTTGTGTTTAGTTTGTCGTCCTTCCCCCGGACCTCCGATGAGCACGGTTGGCTACGTACGGTGCGAAAGAAGTTCAACAGTACGTACATACATACAAATATGATGGATATTTTGCGTAGTCATTGTTGACCAGGCCGAGAACCTCAACTCACTACACTCAAGAACCGGACTTAGTCATGGGAGGGCTGGCGACCCGGATTCAAACTCAGGTGTTAATACGGTGCTGGCTCAACACTCGTGACCTCCGAGCCAAAACATTTTACTTTTTTTTACATCCCAAAGCACCAATAACACACCCCCCCCCGCCCTCCCCGCTCGATCGGTCATCACCAGTGAAGTGCTTGGGGCCTAACTGACGAATTCGCTATCGTCGTCCGAATTGATCTCGTCGTGCAGCTCGGTCTTGCTGATGCGCAGCGTGTCGTAGTGCGGCGGCGGAGTGCCCGGCACGTCCTGCTGCTCCGCTGCCACTGTAGGAGGCTGCGCCGCGCTGCCGTTCGCGTCGGGAGCCTCCCTGGGTGGCTCTCGCTCCTCCATCTCGAAGCCCGAGTTCCCCTGGCCCTGAACGATGGAAGAGAGCGTGGGCGGCTCGTCCGAGTAGCGTGGCTTGCGGCTCGTCTTGCGGCGCTCGCGCACGTCGTGCGACGCCTTGATGATGCCGATCCACACGCAGTCGATGATGATCTCGATGAACTCGATGATGCACAGCACCGAGCCGCCCATCCAGAAACCAAACTGCCCGCCCAGGTTGGACAGCAGGGTCACGATCTGCAAGCGGGGGGAGGTTGACGGCAGGCGACGGTGTGAAATCGAGAGTGATGCGTCTCGTTCGCACGTGTTACACTATTTGTCGTGTACAATCCATTGCTGGATGAAAGCCTCTCCACGTTGTGTCAGATATGCGGTAAGTTTGCCCACACTTCACCACCATGGTTAGTGCGAGTTAGTGAAGTTTGGGGGGGGGGGGGGAGCAGGAATGGTTTTGACATTCTCTAGTTGGTGACTATGGTCAAACTTCCCCCATGACCAATAGAATGGAGAGGCCTTTGCATTTGTATACACAGTAGCAATGGTTAATTATCGATATTGCCCATGCACGTATTGATTCACATACCCACCAATTCGATGAATTGTCACAACTCAGGGCTGCAATTCAAAATGCCATTCCTGTCTCTCATTTTGAGTTTCTTATTTGTAGATTATAATCTTTTTCATGTTTTGCTTGCACATTTTGTTTGAATGGGGGATACAGACATTGGTTGTTTCGCACTGCATTCACTGAAATGTAACATTTCCACATCATGTGCAGCTCATGCAAATAAGTGAATCCCGCATGGATGGTTTGATGCAAGCAACACCTGCGGAAGACGTTTACATCCATGAACATGCCAAGGTGCTCCTTAACGTTACAATCAAGAATTCACCGTTTGTGCTGGCGACTCAGATGTTGTCATGGAGTTGAATTCTTGAAAGAACAAGTTCACCTTTATTATGTCCTGCCTAAAGGCAAAGGCGTAAGGCAGAATCAGTGTTTGTGTTAATGCTGTGAGATAAACTATTTAAATATTACACATTACAAGATGCAACACTTTTCCTGTTTTCGGTTAAATATCCTACTAAGTAGACGAGATTGAAGTTTTATCACATTTATCATTTGACAGTTTATATTCTACAGACCTCCTGTGATCCGCGACCCTATTACCCACCACTGCTGTTTCCCATGGTAGCGGAAAGGTTCATAAAACTCCTGGTACCCGCAGCCCTATTCTTCCTATTATCCACTGTCACCCACAACACTGTCCCAAGTACATTGCGGAGAGGCATCCAATTACCCACAATTCCCTCTCCAATCATTTGAATTAATTTACTCCACATGATGGATACAGAGCAGTTCTGTATATGATATGTGAACATTTGACGAATGCACATTTCGTTATTTCCATATATAAAGGGAAACTTCATGTTAATTAATGAAAGGCAAGACTGTCTCTCACATCTAAAATGTAGTTTTCTTGGAGGATATGCGATTATTATCATTCCTGCGGAGGGAGCTGGTAGATACGTTGGGTTGCTCGGTCAATGGCCAGGGTCAACGGCGGCGTGGTGTATTCCGCAAATATGCCCGACTGTGAGGGCGGGCACAAGCCGGCGTGAGTAGGTTAAACGTTGAGTTTTATAAGGGCACCACGGGGTGACCAGCCCCTCCCCACCCAGCCCCACCCCTCCCACCCCCCACCCAGTCCCTCCCCACCCTCCTCACCCAGCCCCTCCCCACTCTCCCCACCCAGCCCCTCCCCACCCAGCCCCTCCCCACCCAGCCCCTCCCCACCCAGCCCCACCCAGCCCCTCCCCACCCTACCCTCCCCACCCAGCCCCTCCCCACCCAGCCCCTCCCCACCCTACCCTCCCCGCCCAGCCCCTCCCCACCCCCTCCCCGCCCAGCCCCTCCCCGCCCTCCCCGCCCAGCCCCTCCCCACCCTCCCCGACCGGCCCCTCCCCACCCTCCCCACCCAGTCCCTCCCTGCACGACGGACGGACACAATAATCCCCTGTGGGCTGGTGTAACCAGGAGGTTCCTACCAGTATTATCATTAGAACAGGCATCAAGAGGCTTAGTAAACAATTAACTCCTTGGGCGAGTGTGGTTGGTTTTCATCAACACAAGCTAATTGGAGCATTTATAATCTACCACACTTTTTCATTGGCACACTCTTTGCATTTATTACCTGCTGACATTGTGCTTTCTTTCCTTTGATAAGATATGGAAAATCCAATCCTGCAAAATACAATTCTTTAGTTAGACACTGCAGAAGAATGCTCAGGGCATTTTTTCTTTTTACAAATAACAAGCAGCAAACCCCATTGCTATGCAACTGAAAATAAAAAAACATCTGCACATTTTAATTTTAATACTCTTCTCATAAGTCTGTACTCGGAGCACTAAAAACTATATTTTTTATAACATAAAATGCCAAAGTTAATAGAATTGCAAGAATATCCTTGCGAAACAATTACATTAATAGGTGCACAAATTGAAAATTAGAACAATTTCATCAAATGAGCCACGGTCAGTCTTCTCAATATATTCCTCCCACCTTTTTTGGTGTCAATATCTATTCTGTGTCAGTTTAACACGTCGGCTTTCGCGACCAATATCATCCATAAGGCAGGTTTTTTTGGGTTAGATAATGTAAATGTGTGTCGTTAAACCCACCACCACCCGACACAGCCACTTAGTAAGGTTTGTTACGTAAACAGAACATCCCAATTTGTTACGAGTAACACATCAGTGTGCTGTACTAGTAACGAATCGGCATGTTCTGTTTTACGTGACAAACCTTAATAATTGGTTGTGTTGGGTGGTGGCCGGTTTAACAACACATTTATATTTACGCGATCTAACCAAAAAAACCTGTATTATGGATGTATTCTACGTATTTCAAAATTATACCACCAGTTAAATTCGATCTTTGTTACACGGAAAATCCGGTTTATCCAGTTACCCAGCTAGTTTCGGTGACAATGACTCGGCAGCCCTGAACAATAGAACGATTGTTGGGGTGGAGAGGATCCCAGCCAGCAGCCAGCCAAGAAACTCGACGTATATATCTTTTAAATAGTAGTATGATAATGCGTAATGGAAATATGCATTTACCTCCGAAGATTGCGAGGGCCAGTCTGACATGCTGATGCTCATTTTGTATTCACTTTCACTGCGCGTTAAGGAGCAAGAAAACATGTTTAAAGGAGACTGTCATAATATATTAAGTATTATTTTTGTATAATTTTGAAACAACGTATCATTGTTGCACAGCTTGGATGGATTTTCTAGTGGTCAATACGTAGGCATATCTGTACAGCAGAAAATTACCATATTTCTTGAGTATTGTAGTTTGGTTAAATGTGAAGGATATTGTAAATAATCACGTTCTTTATTTAACCAGGAAGGCCTCACTGAGTCTAAAGACATCTTGTTTGTGAAGCTCATGCATTCAGGTGTTTGTTCAATGCCATCAATGAGTGATTTGCATATGGCAGGAACACAGACGGATTCAATATTCCACAGCTATACTGACATCTATTGGTCACATCGCAGCACAGTCCGATAACATTCCCATTTGCACATTTATTGTTCAGTCGGCTAAGTCATCGATGGCACCGCTATTGGTAGACGTGTGATGTGTTTTAAGTTGAATGCTGTTCAAACTCATCTGCACCTCTGATTAACACGGCTGGCTACTTACGGTGCGAAATAAGTTCAATATAAATACGTACGTCCTGATCAATTAACCAAGCACACCCAGTGCGGAATGTGGATTACGGTATAACCGTCATTTTATACAGATGTTCACAGATCCGACCTGATCACATATCCGCCTATACCTCAGTCCCCAGCAAGTCGTCTACACGACATTGTGCTGTACTCGGTTACTCTTCTTACATGCACGGTTGCTTGCAGATGGTGTAACAGTCCATATCTTCTTCAACAAACTGGTCGTACAGCTTGTAATAGCAGTATCCTACAGGGTACACGCACACAAAAACATACGTCGCAAGACTTTCCTTTGCACGTTGGCTATGCATGTATCGAGTAGCACAATGTGGGGGGCGAGCAACTCTCGCAGCTTACGCCAGCCAGTGAAGTTCTGGTTCTGGCAGTACTTCTCCCCTGGGGGCAGAGGGTACAGGTAATAGCCGCAGCCACACATCTCGATCATCTTGGTCTGAAAGCAGGAGCGCAGGCAGGCCTGTTGAAACAACACAGGGGGGGGGGGGGGAAGATAGACGAGCACACAATCAGTTTGTGGTCCTTCCTCCGCAACTCTGATTAGCACGGTTGGTCGTGAGTTTTTCAAAGCAAATTATTAACATTTACCTTCATGCGTTTGGTGTTATGCCAATTGAAAAGTTGTTTTTTTGCTCAACTAATCATGTAGTGGTGCTCCTCTTCCGTTTACAGCCTTGAGCCAGTGATGGGAATTCCACGTTATTATATATCGGTGGACAGTGTGTTCCTTGGACAACTACTGTTGACTTTCCACAAAGCAGTCTACGTTTTATAGACCTCAGAGTCGACCCTCCAACTGGGATTTGAACTCATAACCTTCTAAATGTAAACCTCTGCTGCTGTTCTGCCCAGTAGGAAATTACGCAGTGAAGCCGAATTCCTTGATAGATGTAATCTTCCTGGAAGTATCAATCACCACTGACACACGGTAAAATGTGTCGCAATGTGGCCTGAGAAGAATGTATGTTTGTTGAACTCTAGCACCATGCTAATCGGAGGTGTGGTGGAAGGACAACAAACTAACCACAAAACTCATTTCTAAAGAAATGAGTTTTCAATCAAGATTGAAAAGTGCAAAGCTGCAGTGGCTTTCTAATGTCGGAACAGCACTCCAGATGGCCACAGACGCACATCTATAAGCGCGCGATGCAATGACCATCTTTGTTTGATGGCCAGCCAAAAAACACTCTGAGGATGACCAGAGCTCACAAGCAATAAAGGCAGTCAAAAACACTAAAATTACTCGAGAATGTCTCACGTGCCCAGTGCATACCTGAACACTGTAGGCAGTGCCGTTGTAAAGATTTGTTATTGGCAGATCTGTGCCGTCCATGGTGCAGTCGCTGTATGGAGCACCTTGTCTTTGTAGTTGACCCTGGAGAGGAGGATTATGAAATCAGATGCGATCATCAGCGGATATGAAGAAGGGCCATTGCCCAAAACGTTGCTTATGTTATCTTTATCCTCTTCCAAGCAGTGTTATTGACGAATATGTTGTTTGTGTTGTTGTTGCTGCTGCTGTTGTTGTTAATTATGCTTATGCACTGCTGACAACGCAGCAGCACCACCAAATAATGTGTATATATTTTTTCAATGTTTTTTTCAATGTTATATCTCAATTATTTAAAAACGGTGTGTACGGCACCATTCATCTGTGTTTCTTCTTTTTACTTTTGTGTTCCTTACCACTTCAATCCCCACAGAGGTCTCAGCACCGGTCTTGACGAAGAAACCCTGGTTGCTGAGGAAGGGGTAAGTGTTCTGATCATGCAGCATGATTACAGCTCCCGCGATTGTGGTCAAGAATGGGATGTATTCATCTTGATCAATGCTGAGCACCAGTTTCAAACCTGAAAGACAACATTTTGAGTCCACACCAGAGGGCAAATGCTTTACAATCCCAGCTGTTCTTAATCCAAAGGGAGAAGGCCGACCCATATTCCACCACACTGGTCAGTGCAGGTTTGTGAAAAGGGCAGGATAGAGGGGGGGCAGGACTGGGTCTGGATAACAATTCCCATCTCACCTTGTTTAGTCCTCGTGATAACGTGGTGGTGGTGTGTAGGAATATAGGGTACAGCAATATAGGATTATTATATGGAGAGACATACTTTATCGTGGTAGTGCCTTATGCCAATAATCCTGAATCCAAGGCAGCTTAGCAGCGTTCTAGAAAAGACCGAGTGAGAAATTAAGCCCTGCTCGTATCACGCATGTTAGCCCCAGCCGGGAATGGAACTAAGGTCGCTGGGTTAATCGTGCATCTCGCTCACCACTCTTCCGCTTCTCAACCCCGTAGCTCCGTTACAATGCAATTAAATAAATATATTGTTGCACAGGCCAGACGCTTGTAAAAAAAAAAAAACTCACCGTACTCAACCCCAGGGTTGGACACCTGCATCACCGTTTCGTTTTCACCCCAGTTGAAGATGAAGCAGTTGCCGTACATTGGGTGGTATAAGGTTGTGAAGTTTCTGCTCATTGAACGTGAAAAAAACATTGCCAAGAAAATAAGAATTAACGTGGAAAATTATTTTCATGCAGTCGTAAAACATTGTTAGCTTTGCGCAAGCCAATGCACAATTGTGTATTGTGACAAGCCGACATTTCAATTTATTGTTTAAAGAAAGCCAATTCGATTAAGTGCATTCAGACTGCTTTGGGGACGATGTGCAATGGGAAGATGTCTCACGTGGCATTGCACGCGTCGTTGCTGAAGAGACACGATCGGATAAGTTCATCGCCACTGGAGCTCAGGTTCGATTTCTCCTCGTTGGAGAGCTCTCCCAGCAGGCTCAGCAGGTTGAAGTGGAACCACTGCTTCACAGCAGTCATCCCCGAAAGGTACTCGCTGTAAAAGCACTTATCACCTGCAGTGTCGCACTAAAGAAACAGGACAGCACGCTGTAGCTCCAAAAGGGTTGCCACATTTCCCACTGTAGACCAAACTCGGACAATAATCGTCAGTAAGCCTAGGCCTATGGCACAACTGTGCCGTGGACTTGCATGCTACGGTTCGGAATTCGTTTTGCGGGTTAGATTGTGCGGGTATTGTGTCAATTAGAGCTATGTACCCTCCACCACCCAACACAGGCAAACAAATGAAGTTGTCACCTTGGCAAAATGTGCCACATCACGTGTGGTGTGGTGTGGTAAAGTGTCGGTACTCCCATCTCTTCAAAGATGTCTAGTCAGCGTGGACGAAAATACTAAATACTCTCTTGGGGGGGCGCTCTAGGAATAAACTAAATATTCTCTCAGAGGGGGCTCCCTAACAGTTCCCTCTAGTGGAGGTCCCTCTGCCGTATGTACGTGTAGTGCTTGACCCAGAGACACGAAGAGTAGGAGGCGCTCTGTTTATTAACACGGCCTAATAGTTAACACTTAGTAACTACGGCTCCCAGTCAGGACAGCTGTTAGACTGCCTGACTGGCGACGCCGAGACGGTGAAGACGGCGACGATGGTGAAGACTCCAGCAGCACGACGGAGATCCCACTCCACACGACGGCCACGAGGTCCCCTCCCGGGGCCCCTCTTATACTGTCGGCGTGGCCTGGCTCCGCCCCCGGTCACACCCCCTTCTGGAACCTACTAATGGGTTCTCGATGTGCCCCTTCTGTAAGCTTTCCCCTAAATCCCTCTCTGGTCTATCACGTGGCCTGCTGACAGTCAGGGCGGCTGCAAGCTGCAGATCCCCTTCCCTGCCAGCAGCCAGCGCTATGCTGCTACTTGACCGATTCTATGTCACTACATATGTATGTACGTGTGTATGTTGATCTTCTTTCGCATTGTACGTAGCCACCGGTGCTAATCGAAGGTGCCAGTGGCGTGAGCAGTATATATTCCCGGGATGGATAAACTGCAGCATGCGTTTTCTGGGCGATTGAAAAGTGGCTTGGTGTAGATGTGGCTCATTTGAAATGTTGAATGAAACAGGAAAGCTCTGCCAAAGTGGGACCTGGCCCAGGGCCGTCACCTTAAGCAGCAGAACCAGACATACTCCCAATGTGCTCTTGCAGAAGCCCAAGTGAAAAAAATCCACGTATACCAGTGGAAACTAAACTAATAAAAAAAAAATTACCAGGCCCATTGAGCTATAAGAGCTCTTTTACAGAAGTGACCTGGCCACAAATGATAGCTCAACGAAGTGGCTTATCAAGTGATAATTTATAGCAGCCAAATACTCTAGGCGCCTGGTGATTCTAAATGTGAAGGGAAAACCCAGAGGACCCAGAGAAAAATCCACACGAACACAGGGAGAGAGACATGCAAACTCCACATATACATTCGTCAGGGTCGGGATCGAACCCACGACCTCCTGTATACATCTCGCCACTATGGTGCTCCAAGTGACCAACTCACGTGATTTGCAGTTCTCAGCCACATGAAGATTTCAGTATGAGGTTCATAGGATCAGAAATTTTTGGACACCCTTGGTATATTCAGAAACTTTGTAGAGTACCTATATGATAAACTATCTGTTGTCTACAGTGTGGGTCTCAATGTCATCTGCAGCTCGACTGCACATCTGCCAGACATAAATGTCAATTACTTGCGCAGCAAATGTGCAGACACAGCAGAGTTTCTTTTCAATGATCTCACCAGTCGGAAACCGATCCTCACGTCCTTCCCCAGGTGAGGAATGAGCGACGAGGTCGCGTCCGCCGCAGCTCTCTCGGGTGGCACGGACACGGTGTCTATGGAGCCGTTGATCAGGTAGCTCTGCTTGCTCACCACCTCCGTCACCACCGTGCGGTTGGGGTCACGTCTGTCGATCAGCACCAGAGGAATGTCCTGCCATGGCGCCTTGGCGTACGAGGTGTTGTAAGGTGACGGAGTGCTCGAGTCGTTGTAGTTGTACAGGGTTTGGAGTGCTACGCGTGTGTAGGCCTCCAGGTCCTTGATTTTGTCCTTGATGGAGCTGTACCTGCAGAACGTACAGCGGCACGCACGCAGTTGAAACCCCAGATAGCATCACCGCCACCTAACACACTGGAATGCAGGTTTTTGAGCAAATATGAACTATTGCAATATGGGAAACCTCCTCACAATTTAAATTCGGCAATTAACGATAAATGAATGTTACTCATTATGATGTTTAAATGCATGGGATAGTTTTCATCCCAATGCTGAAATATTACCTGAAAACTACTCAACTTAGGTTACACACAGCACTCATCACCCCCTACTGAATATTAGACTAGAGTGGAGCCTCTGTGGGTAAACAAGTGTAGCTATAATAATTCGAAATAATACTTTTCTGAGATTAATTAAATAAGCGTATACAGGATTTGAGTAGAAGCACTCTTAACTTAACACCTAAATGCACAAGCAGTCTCCACCGGTAATCTACCTGTAAGCGTTCAGGTTGCACACAGTGACAGCAGGGAAGTTCATCCTCTGGAATCCCATGTTGACCGAGACGGAGACCCCGTAGGACAGGTACGCCTGGAAGAGAAGCACCCACTGCCAGAGGACGACGCCCAACATGATGATGGTGATGAGGAACCACAAGACCCGCTTCTTCTTGCCGTACACGACGACGCGCTTGCACCCGTGCGTGTTGGTGTTCATGCAGTACCAGTAGAGCAGCTCCGACACCGACGCCACGGGGCCCTTCTGCAGCCGGTGCAGGGATCGCGTAAGGTACTTCCTGATCTTCATGTTGGCCATCGTGAGTGGGACCTTAAAAATTGGAAAACATTCAAGTGGGCGACTGCGGTCACCCAGAACAGACACACAACATATAACGACGCAATGTCTGATACACAAATACAAAGGAGGCATCCCGGCGATGCACTCCGCTGCTCCTGACGCAGTTGTCTGGCTTGACCACCTGAATGTGAAATTCCAGTTTTTGCTCAGTATCTAGATCAGCCATTCGTCTAGCAGCTACTTGGTTACCGAGTTGATTGTTATCCACCATTGACTTGTGCCATATACATGACAGTGTACTCTCGTATGTGATGGTCTTCATAACACGGCAGAGGTAAAGGAAGGTGCAGACCTGCAATTACTCGCTCACACCACTGCTGGTGGAAGGGCATCTTCTAGAAAGTTCCTCTAAAGGGTGTTTGGCCTACTCTTCCACACTTGCCAGACGTCTTTAAAGAGGTCAGAGTTACCCACACTTTACCCCATCACATGCTTCCTGCTGATCAAACGACTACTCAACACAGAACATTGAATTAAATTAAATGCACATTTTATTTTTTCTGAACATTAACAATGTATATAAATCAACAGTAGAATTACACTATGGCACCTTGAGTTTCTGCTACATATTAATACCATTGCATATTACCCACTTAGCTTCTGTGTTTTTTTATTGCAGGAAATTAAATATGAACTACACAAGGAGAATAGAATATAAATAAGGCAACCGCTATTTTATATCCATTGTAATTTATGTGACTACATTAACCACCCCCCCCCCCCCCGGCCTTCGGACCTGATTCGCTCACAAGTGAAGACATCACATTTATCCCCCTCTATTTAAGAACGAAACAGGAGGATTTCTCCACAAATCTGGCTGTCGTCTGATGATGCTGGTTGTAATTACTGGCGAAACGTCGTACTCGAATTGTAAATGTTGTGGGTTTACTCTCCAACACACCGGTGTGCTGTACTAGTAACGAATTGGCATGTTTTATTTCCGTGAAAAACCTTACTAATTGGCTGTGTCGGGTAGTGGCGGGTTTAACGACACATCTATGCTTACGCGATCTAACCCAAAATAACCTCTATTATGGGAAATATTGGTCGCGAAAGCCTACGTGTTAAGGAGAGACGGTACAAGCTGATGATGCCCCATAGCCGAATATCTTCCTTTTAATGTGGTCCGATCAGCCTGGCTGACCTCTGTGCGAGCTGATGTCACCATGCGAAACCCACCATGGGTTTACATAGGAACCATGCGCTGCTTACTATACCCGAGTATCAACGTTCTTCAGGGAGAAACAAGTGAACGCAAATGCCCCAAGGGCCTGTTCTGAAGGACAATTGCCTGCAATGCAAGCCAATTAACCGCTGGCTGCATTTTCTAAAGGAGCTCTGAGTAACAAGTCATTTTAAATGCACACCACCGTTGGAGTGGCTTGCGTCTCGATTATCCTGCCTCCGCTTTGCTGCCAAGATTGTAGCCTCCTGTCCACAGCCCCTAGTTTAAAAACGAGTCGCTCTACCACAGTCAAACAAAGTTTCGCTAAAAGCCAGCCGACCGATTGCTAAAGGAGCACGTCAAGCCACATCGCTGAACGCAGATCGCAGTGCCACTCTGTTATGATTGATGAGGATTAACTTAACTTAGACAGGGTGACAACAGCAGCACTGCCAACACTAAAGCGTCACTGCTGCCGCAGTAATCGGTAGCCGATTTGTCAAATTTGTCTATGGGTCATTAGTCACACTTTCTACGGGAAGCGAATTACTCGGTTCACTGATGAAGGGATCTTTATTAGTGTTTAGCGCGAGACTTAAATACATTTAGTACTATGGGAACCTTTTTTGCCAGTATCAAAGTATGAACTACAACAATAGGTGTTACCCTTTATGGCTATACAACACGAGGTGTTAAGATGTTAAAACACCAAATAGAAACCTTTTGCAAGGCATCAAGTCTACACTAACCACACGTAGTTGAACATGCAAACAAACACGCTCTGGTATCGAGATTTGAAGTTTTCGTGACTGCAGGGATCCATACTTTTTGGTTCTTTTGGTAAAGTCACGTGGGTAGAAAATAAAATAAATTAAATCAAATCACAACGTTTCGGGCGCTTGCCCACTTCAGCAATTGTTTATTGCTGTGGTTGTTCCACCCGATGACGGGCACTTGTGTTGCGCTCGAAACGTCGTGATTTAATTTATTTTATTTTATACCTCTGATAATAATAGATATGCGTTGTGGTCGAAATTGTCGTGATAATTTTTATTTTGTTTTATTTTTATTATTTTATTATTTCCCTTCTACGTGACTTTACCGAAAGGACCAAGACTATGAGTATAACTAGAGGCACTGGCTTTTAAACCGATTGGCCTCCACCAGAGACAGCCTTCTTTAGGCCAATCCGTTTCAAAGCCAATGTCGCGATTATTATTATCAGAGCAGGTTTTGTTTGCATGTTCACCACAAGTATGTGTGGTTAATGCAGACTTGATGCCTTGCAAAAGGTTTCTATTTGGTGTTTGAACATCTTAACACCTCCTGTTGTATTGCCAGAAAGGGTAAACTTTATTGTTACACATTTAGTACGTCAGACTAATCCTGCCCCATGAGTAACATTATTTATTCTTGCTCGACGGCCCATATTTGAGCGTTAAAGATTATTTAACGAGGTTAATCTCTTTAGCCCTTCAAGAACATTGTACTAGAATGCTCACCAGTCACTTTCGTTACGAATATCCCGTATTAAATCATCCATATCATCAATTCGTTCTGTAGTCGGTTTCGAAATTACACTGCACGCACACATACACACACTCTCTCAACATCCTTCAATAATGTCATCGCGCGCGGAGTTCATTGATGTAAAGACAGCAGAGGTGGGACAAAGTCATTGTTATGCAAGTCCAAGTCGAGTCTGAAGTCATCAAATTCATGACTCGAGTCTGACTCGAGTCCAAGTCACATGACTCGAGTCCACACCTCAGAGGTGGGACAAAGTCATTGTTATGCAAGTCCAAGTCGAGTCTGAAGTCATCAAATTCATGACTCGAGTCTGACTCGAGTCCAAGTCACATGACTCGAGTCCACACCTCTGAAAGACAGCATATGCATACTCACTATACAGACAATATCCTTCACATGCATCTGGATGGCGTGCAGTAGAGTGCCATACAGTATATATATTGTATTATATATTACTTCGTATAATCAAATACAAAATCTTCGTCCGAGCATTTCCTCGCATAGAGGCGAGAACTCGGGCAGAACAACGCCGTCGAGGCAAGAGGCAACACCGCCTCCTCGCTAAACGTGCTCCAAGTCGGTTTAACATTCACTCTCGTGCCACCATCCCTCGAGCTCTTTGGCCTACTCTTCCCCACACCCACCCCCATGAACACGGCCGCGTAACCTGTAGGGCTGATGCCCGCGTGTGGCTGACGGAGCAATATTTGCGAGGCTCACCTCGGCGGAGGCGCGCGGTGCTGAGTGGGGGCGGGATTCGTCCTCTGGGCTCCCTCACAGCGCTCACAGCGCGCCCGACTCCGCCCGACTGCGCCTGCACGAGGAGCAGCAGCCACTGCTGCTGCTGCCGCCGATGATGCCGCTTGCGAGCCAGCGAGTGGAGTTGGGGGAGGGGGGAGGGGGCAGGGGAGGTGAGGGGATGGAGAGGGAGGGTGAGGAGAGGGAGGGGAGAGGAGGGAGGGAGGGGAGGGGAAGGGAGGGGGAGGGGAGGAAGGGGAAGGGAGGGATCGGAGGGGGAGGGGAGGGAGGGAGGGGGAGGGGAGGGAGGGGAGGGAGGGGAGGGGGAGGAAGGGATGGGAGGGGAGGGGAGGGGAGGGAGGAAGGAGGAGGTGAGGGGAGGGAGGGGAGGGAGGTGAGGGGAGGGAGGGGGAGGGAGGGGAGGGAGGGGAGGGAGGGGAGGGGAGGGAGGGGGAGGGGAGGGAGGGAGGGGGAGGGGAGGGAGGGATGAGAGGGGGAGGGAGGGGGAGGTGAGGGGAGGGAGGGGAGGGGAATGAGGGGTTGGGAGGGATGGGAGGGAGGTGAGGGGAGTGAGGGAGGGGGAGGTGAGGGGAGGGAGGGAGGGGGAGGGGAATGAGGGGTTGGGAGGGATGGGAGGGAGGTGAGGGGAGTGAGGGAGGGGGAGGTGAGGGGAGGGAGGGAGGGGGAGGGGAATGAGGGGTTGGGAGGGATGGGAGGGAGGTGAGGGAGGAGGAGGGGAGGGGGAGGGGAGGGGAGGGAGGGGGAGGGGAAGCGGTCCCGCAGCTGTTCCTGCGCGCGCTGCCGCCGGCCACGAACCCGATTCCCGCTGCACGGCCGCAAGCGGCAGTGTGTGTAGTATCATAATAAAAATACTTGAACCGGTTCCGGCAACTCCTCCCCTGAGGTCGACTCAGCCCCTCCAACGAGTCTCCGGTGTGAAACATCAGCGCTGTGGAGACCGGGGCGGCCCGGCGTGGTGCTGGCCGCACACCACCCCCTCGTGTGCCGTGCATCATCGGCGGTTACTTGCGAACGTCATTTGTCCCCAACAGTCTGTTCAGGCGATACGGTTGTATCTTGGTCTTGTTTTGTCTTCGCTGCCTGTACCTCCGACACATGAGCGTGCTCGTGCCACAAAAACCAACTCAACACTTTCGTCGATAACGCTGTGGGTCTTTGAATGAATGTTGTATCGTAGGCGACGTTTCGGGCGATGACCCTTCTTCGTAACAGTTAAATAGACAGGCCAGTAGAGAGCTGGAGTGGATCATCGGAGTTGGATGCTGAACTGTCTTTACACCAATGTGCTTTCCTGAACAGACGTTACATTGGCACATGAACCTTATGGCGGGACCCCGGGGTCCCAAATAAACGGAAGTCAAAATCGTAATTAACTCATTAATTTTTGGCGACTCCGTCCCACCGCGCACACAAACGCCGCGACCCGCCTGGTGTAGATCGTTCTGTTGTCGTGTCCAAGGAGGACGAATGCGCAGAAGAAACAAAACTTTGTATTCTTTGGGTCTTTCGGTAAAGTCACGTAGATAGGTACAATTTAATAATAAAAATAATAAATATAAAATAGATAGGTACAAATAAAAAAAATGATAATAAAAAAAGAAAAGAAAAAATATGTATTTATTATTTTTATGAATTTGAACCTATCTACGTGACTTTACCGAAAGACCCAAAGAATATGAATTCCTGCAGTCACGAAAGCTCTAAGTCAAGATTGTGCATCGTGTAGAGCTCGTCGAGAGGAACAGATCGCCGTATCGTTCGCCTTCAACAGACAGAATTACGTCGCAACGCAGTTCATGCGAGAGCCGAGGGCTTATGGGACCCCGGGGTCCCGCCATAAGGTTCATATGAATAGTTTACCGAATCGTAGCGGTTGAGTAACAGACAACAACCCCTACAGTAAGCAGAGAGTGTTACTAAATAAAATGTCTACTAAAAGTGCAATTAAGCATTGCAGTCAGTAGCACCAATGCTGTTGCAACGTGATCACAGCTCAAGTCTCAAGTGCATTTTGTTTGACCCGCTTTGAACTCAGAGGCCAGGATGGATCGCATTTGCAAGAGTGACCCAAGTCACCAACATTACAAAAGAAAAAAACAATAAATTACGGCCGTGACGTAAGTAGAAATCAATCTCTGCCTGCCGTGGAAGTTAGCGAAATGTATTCGCACGAATGCAACTTTTCTTCTTTGTACTCGCTGATCCGTCTATAGACACCCCACTCATTTCAATGGTCCTCTTTCTTTTGAATGAATAAACACAACACAATGGCCAACAGTACCTCACCCAAGAAACATAAAGCCTACAAAGCATACAAACAGGCATGATCTCGGGCAATGCCACCAAACGCAACGGCAGAGGTCGGAGAGATATCATTAATCATTCTTAACTGGGTGATCGAATTCCCGCATTGTGAATGCCACATCGCTCCGTGTCTCACAGAGAGATAAGGACGAAGGTAGCGCCACTGCCAATGCAGTCCTCCAGAAGTTTGTTGTTGTTTCATTTTGAGTTGCACATTGTTTGCATGAAGTCTTCGTGTGTCCATAAGTACGATGCATTTGCAAGTCTTATCCCAGATCTCACGCATCATGAGAATCAATGGATTCGCATCTGTTAAAGGAAAATGCAAATGCATGGAAGAGAGAAGTTGCATTTTTTAAATTTCGTTTTCTTGTGATGGTTCAACGTGATATAAATTCCATATAAAGGTAACATCGGCAACCATGACCAATCCACTGCTGGATGAAGGCCTCTTCCACACTATCGTCATTTGTCACGATCCTAAGATGTTAAAATCCACCAATCACCTGAGCACGAACCGATTTAATCGCTCCACTGGTCCATATGCCAGAGCAGAATTGATACCATTTAAGGCAGCAAAACTTAAGACGAGTGATTTACTTGCTAAGCCCACTCGTTTCAAATAGTAACCACACAATTCGCCGTTATTGATCGCATGAAGAAATTGGAACTGCTAAAGTGATGCCACCTCCAGGTGAGGACTGACAAGTGAGATAGCTGGTCTCAGCTCATAGACCACACGTTCCATCTCCATGGTGGTTGTAGCTATAGAGTGCTTTACTGTGCACAGACATCCACGATTTAATGTCTCGGTTTGAGATTCCACAAAAGGAGAAGAGATGCAATCTAGATTTGAAGTTTTCGTCACTGCAGGGATCCATACTCTTTGGTTATTTCGGTAAAGTCACATAGGTATAAAATAAATTAAATCACGACGTTTCGGGCGCAACACAAGCGTCCGTCAGAGATGCATCACCCCGAGGTCAGGGGTCGGCAACCTCTTGAAGGAACTGCTTCGTGACATAATTTATTAAGGACCACCATCTCGTATTCACATTACATTGAGGCTCTTCCAATTACTTTGGTTGCCGACTGCTGCCCTCGGTTCTTCGCGTCTTCCCCGTTCTCTACAATGTGAAACAATACTGTGGAACTGTGGCGCCATGAGTTTGATTGATATGTGCTGGTTTTGCATATCTGCATGTCCGACCATTCACTCGTACTTAAAGGACGAGCTGATAAGCCCACACAGGAGGAAAGAAAGACCGGTTTAGCAACGACCACTGCCATACCCATAAAGGACCCTCCCTCCATTCTTGGGCCAGTTCAGTACAAGATAAGTGACACTCAACAAGAGTGAACAAGCCATCAGCAAAACGTTACAGGGATGCTATGATATCACTACGCTTTGGCACATTCTGCGTGCAGCCTGCTGCACTGGAATGCCTCATGTATTTTCGGTTGGATGGCGAGGAAATAGAAATGAGGACGTTCAATAGGAACAGGTAGAGGAGGAGAGAAGTCTTGGTAGGATAAAACAGAGACAGCAAAACCAATGTCAAGTGGGGCCACATTCTGAGACGTCAAAGCTCAATGAGGGAAGTGCTGGAAGGAAGCATGGATGTTGGCAGAGAGGCCAAGAGACAGAAACATAGAATGTTGCAGCTACAGGACTTGAAGGAAAGCGCAACACTACGAGGAGACGTCTGGCTCGAACCCAATACACAAACTCCTCACCGATAACAATAATGTCCACAGCCTGTGCATATACCCTCTTTGTATGGTCTATAAATACTATTTAAACGCTCAAACTGTTTTTATTTTCACATTGGTACCTCATTTTCCAGTAAAAATACGATAATTGTTTTTTTACCCTTTTATCTGGCAACAAAACTGACACCTTTTCTACGAGGAGTCATGTTTGCATAGACCACAATACCTGCAATCATAATGCATACAAAAAACACAACTCTGATAATGTATGCACTGTCCTTATCAAAGTTGTGTTTTTTTGTTTGCATTATGACTGCAGGTATTGTGGTCTATGCAAACATGACTCCTCGTAAAAAAGGTGTCAGTTTTGTTGCCAGATAAAAGGGTAAAAAAACAATTATCGTATTTTTATTTTATTGTAAAAAGCGACCTGCCCATCACAAATGATAGCTCAACGAAGTCGCTTATCACGTGGACATTTACAGCGGCCAAATACTCTAAATGCATGTTTCTAAATGTGGAGGGTAAAACCGGAGGACCCCGTGGAAACAAAAAACCACGCGACCATCGGGAGAAAGTGCAAACTCCAATTTACACAGGCGTCGATGTCGGGATCGAACCCAGAGACGTCATGTATACCAGGCGAGGGAGTTAACATCTCGACACCGCGGCGCCTATTGAGGTTCTACTGCATGCGTTCTCATGGCTCAAGGCACATTGCTCATCAATGGGACAAAACGCTGAAGAGATCGCAGCGTGAGGTTGGTTTGGACCGTTGTCGCAAAATGTGGCTCTGCACGAGCCAGCCACGTGGGCGCACGTGCAGTCGGGGGACGCCGCACAGATGGGATCCTCAAAGTTCGCTCCCCGTTTCATCACGGATAAGAGGCGTTCTACCCCGAGGCGGAGTTTGACTTCTTTATATTGGGACGGGGTGGGGTCAGAGGTTCGCTTTGTCCCGCACGTTCGGAATCACGGGTGCATGTAATTAATTATTTTATTTTTAATTATTTTAAAAAGATTAATTGTGCTAAAGATTCCATGCGGAAGATTCTATCTTCAGCACAATCGGTGTTTGTGTCAACTTGTT